GCTGCTGCTGCTGCTGATATTTGTCTCATCTCCTATCCTCTCACTCTCTCTCCTTCGACTCATCTCACCTCATCTCTCGCGCCCAGAGCGCCAGCCATATAACAATTCCATCCGTCCTACCATGGTCCCATCGCGATGCCTGTCATAAATCCAAATCATCGTAGCCGCCCCATCCTCTATCGCCTTCTTATAGTAGAAGCAGAAAAAAAAAGAGACAAAAACAGAAATCGGGGGGCAACAAAGTAGAAAGCAGCAGAAGAGAAGAAGAGAAACCTTTTCAGAAAGCTTTGTCGAACGGGGGCATCGTTGAATGGAAAAAGGGGGGGTATGAAAAGGAGGAATGTTTGTGTCTAACAGATCTTGCTCGCAACGCCGTGCCCATAAGCAAAAAAAGCAGCGAGCTCTTTTTCTTCTTTTATTTATCTTTATTCCCTCATTATGTTGTCTATGACTTTGTGAAGAACCAACTGGCACGCTTGCTGCTGCTACCGCTGCTGGTGTTGCCTTCGTTCTGGCCCTGAAGGTTCTGGATCGTGGGAATGCTGGGGGCGTCGCTGCCGCCGCCGCCTCCTCGAAGAGGCTTGGCGATCCTGCTGCCGGCGTTGGCAAAGCTAAAGCCACCGGGCGAGTTAAGACCGCGAGTGCTGCCGGCCTTGGCCAGCTCGAGTCGCTCCTTGACAGCGGCGAGCTGAACCTCGAACCTAGATGATCGTTAGTCAAGTTCATGAGATAAGGAGTGTCGTTCAGGGGTACATACTTGTGGTTCGCAGCGGCCATCTTCTCCTGACTATCCTGTAGCAGGCTCTCCAGGCTCTGGATACGCTCGTTTCGTGCGATCAGCTTGCGCTCAGCGATGGCAACCTCCTTCTTGAGAGCAGAGTTCTGCTCGACCAGTTGGCGCTGGACTTGGGTGAGTTGCTCCAGGTTCCTCTCGAGGAACGCCATCTTCTTCTGTTGCGCCCTGTTGTTGGACGATCGGAGAACGTTGTTATATTGCTCTCGGGTCTCGTCAAGGGAAATCTCGAGCTCAACAACACGCTCGCATCGGTTTTGAAGGTCACGCATGAGACTCTTCTTCATCACGTCAAACTCGGCGATCTGTTGCTGGATCGTCTTGCCGTTAGCCATTGGCGCAGTGGCGCCCGCCTTGACACGCTGTTGAAGATCCTCGATAAGGGTCTTCATTCTTGTGTTCTCGGCAGCCTTCTGGGCAATATCCTCCTTCAGCTCTTCGACAAACTGCGACTGAGCAGTCTGGCGGTTCGCAAAAGCGTTCTCGAGTCGGGCCTTGACCTCCTCGATATCTTCAGGGCCCAAGTTACGGGTAAGAATCTCCTCGTACTCGGCCTGGACAGCCTCAAGACGGGCTTCAAGTTCTTGCCTCCTCCTCGAGTCGGACTCGCTTGAAGAAGTGCTATACATGGAAAGCTCTGCTTGTCGAACGATGCCCTGGGTCTCCACCAATCGAGCCTTGAGTGCCTTAAACTCATCCGGTGCGATGTTGTCGCCAGTTGCACTGAGCTCATGAAGCGAGTCGACCTTCTCGATCGTCTCGGCGATATGGCGCTCGTTCTCGCTAAACACCTCGCCACCCAAATCGAAGCCAGCCATCATCTTGGCCATCTTCTCGGCCTTCCTCTTCTCCTTCTCGTCGAGAGCGGCACCACTTTCCTTTGCGCTCATCTTGACATCGAGGAGCTGCTGCTTCACCTCGTCGAGTTCGGTAGTGAGCTCCGAGTTAGCCTCCTTCAAGGCGTCCATTGTGATCTGAGCTTCCTTGCTCTCGAATGTGAGCCTCTCCAGTTGCATCTTGAATTCGTTAACCTCGGTTGTGAGCTTCTCGTTCTCCTTGCCGACTTTGCTATCATGATCCTTGAGGTAGGCCAGCTCCTCCTTGGTCTCTCGCAGCTGCTTCTCAGCCGACGCAGCTTGAGACTCCTTCTCCGAGATCTGGTCCTGCAGTTCGTTCTCTCGTCGTAGGAACTCCTCCCTCTCGTCCTTGTCAAGCGGTAAGCTGGGAGTGCCAGCTCGTTCGGATATCGCAGGTGTTTCTGATCGGCTGTCTGATATTAATGAGGGAGTGGATGGCCGTGTCGATGTCCTGGCATCAGCCTTGGTTCTAGCAACAGCATCGGTAGTCAAAGGTGTGGCCCATCTTTCCTTGGGGACAGCTTCACCAGCTCGCCACATCTGAATTTCGCCTTCAAGTGAGGAGATATAGCTCTCGAAGTTCGTGACTTGTCCTTGTGCTTTCTTGAGAAGGGACTTGAGCTCGGCAGGGCTCAGCTCGGCGTTGACCTTGGCCTTGTTCTTGATCGACTTGGCTCGCATACCGAATCTTAGTGTACCCAAGGTTTCGGCATCGTTGTAACTACTGGGCGAACAGTTGATGATAAGGGTCGTCCGACTGTTACCACCGAGAGATTCTTGCAGGATACGGGTCAACTTGGAGTCTCGGTAAGGAATATGTGAGGATTTGCCATCAGTCAAGGCGTTGATGACCATTCCCAGGGCACTCAAACTCTTGTTGATCTTTTTGGCTTCCTCCAGAGTCTGTCCACTGGCACCGGTCTTGCCAACCTTTTCACTACCAGCCAAATCGACAAGGAACAGCTGTCCGCTTTTTGCTGAGCCGGTTTCGACATTCTTCTGTGTGATGGTGATGACAAAGATGGAGTGGGATCGTGAGGACTCCTGGTTCATGTTCGTGGCGGCGACAGCTCGTGCATTTCCACCTCTCCTCATGACCTCGTACACTTCTTGGACACTTGAGACGTAGATTTCCAAAAGACCCTTGACATAGACACCTCGGTTCTTCTCTTCGTGGACGGGCAGGTTGTCGTTCTGTGGCGCAAGCAGATCTCGAATCCTCTCCATGTAGATTTCCATATAACTGACGCGGACCGTGTACTCGATGGTGCCGGGACTGGACATGATGCTGGCAAAGATCTGCTCGACGATACGGGGAATAATACCTCGACCCTCATCATCGTCGATGTTGGTGCCCATCATGGTATAAGACTTACCGGCACCGGTCTGGCCGTAGGCGAAGACGGTTCCGTTGTATCCATTGAGAATATCGTCGACGGTAGATCGGATCGAGAAGTCGAAAATGTCTTGTTGTTTACATCCCATATCGAAGACTCGGTCAAAGGTGAAGCTACCCTGCGCCTCCTTGGACTGCCGAACATGTTAGCTATGAGGTCTCACCGTATGTTTACGTTGCCGTGAACAGTAACGCAACGCAACGCAAAGCAAAGCAACGGGAATGACAAACATACGGCGACGGTACAGGTATCCTCGCCATCGAAAGATACGATGGGCTTTCCACCCGACTCAAGCTCGACCTTGTTCTGAGGTCGAAACCTGGCCACGACCTTGATACTATTTGCGGACGACATATTGAACGCAGGCTGTGTGTCACGCAACAAACGTTATCATCGGCCGCGGTGCTGTCGTCCCGAGAGAAAGGGAAAAAAAAGTCGGGCTCGATCGTTGGTTGCTCTGAAGCGAACCTTCAGGGGGGTGAGGGGGGTCGCAGAAGATGCGGGCCGCAAGTTTGTTGCAATGAGCCACAAAATGGCGGCGAGAGGGGGGCCTTAAACAAAGAGAGAGGATAATAGAGGGATGTTTAGACTTGGATAAAGCGAGATGGGCTCTGAACAAAGGCCGAGTCGTAGATGCAGATCAAGGCAGAGCCAAGATGCAAGCAGGGTTTCGTGATTCGCTGGCAGGGCGTACGGTTGTATATAGAGATAATATGCACGATAATGTTGTTTAGGTGTGGTTTGACGTGCGATCAGCAATAAAAAGTATCGACGACTGTCAACAACAAATGAATGCCAACCTAACGTCCCAGGTGTGTGTTGTTGGCAACCAGAGGCGGTGGGCATTTGTTGGAGAACGGGCTTTGAAAGGTGATAGGTCAGACACAGAGAGACGCGCGCCAGGAGGGGCCGAAACGGGGACTCACCTCAAGTGTGAGGGCTGCTCCGGGGGGGTAGGTGTCCTATAATTTAGGGGACTCTTTAGAGGTTTTGGGTTTTTTAACCCCTTGGAGATTAGGCCTCCCGGAGGGATGTGCCCAGAAAGAACGTTGAACTTTGAAGCTAAGTTATGGCCCAGATTGTTGGCCTTGTTTCACTTGACCAATGCAATTTGGAGACTTGCCGGGGTCTTTCTTTGGCTCACTGTCATCAGGTATCGGGTTGTTGCGTCGAGGGGTTCATCATGGTGCCGTCAGTCTAGTAGTCAACACACTACCTATTTTGGCAAATGGCCAATCATCAGCCTCAAGCATTCAATATTAAGTGCATTAAATTGTCCGCCCAAGCAATAAGCGCTTGGCAAAGGGAGGATATTAAGTTCATGCAACGATCGTTTAGGCGTTCTTTGGCAAAGTGTCACATGAAACCAAACTATAAGAGTCATTAAACATTCCTCGAGGAGCAGGAAAACACGGGACCTTAATATAGGGTGTCAAAATAAACTCAGCATAAGATATCTTTAACTCAGTAAAGATCTCCTAGATTTGTGCTCAGTTACCTAAGTCTTTTTATCACTTAAGATCGAGGTCCTAAGTTTTCTTTCGACATGTCACCATTCCTGACAAGCAAGGATACACAATGCCCCCCCCCCCACTATTTGACACATTCCGCTTCATTAGCGAGCATAACGTAGGCAGATCACTTCGCTGAGAGTCATTCTCGGGCAATAAACAAAGGTGCTATCCGTACAAGAAACATCAAACTCCTTTCTTCATGATGAACCCTCGTGATATCATAAGCTAACGTTCCCGGGGCTTCCTCCTGGACGCTTGCAACGCCTCGAATGCAGTTTAGTCAATTTAAAACTCCTCGTGCCCCAAAACGCCATGTACATAAAATGCGCTGCAGCTTTAGGCTGCAGAGCACTTCCATTGTTTGAGCAACCTGATCTGTCACCTTGCTGGACAGGTCGACGTTGGTATTCCGTTGTCTGTCCTTTTGGAATTCGGCCGTTCAATCTTCCCAGCTCTTCTCCACCGTCTCTCTGACACGCTTGGTGTATTCCTTTCGATTGTCCTTGTAGAGGTTGGAAGCTTCGACGTTTGCGGGCGAACCAGTGTTTGGGTCATTAAGTAAACTGTTGAAAGATCAGCGAACGCCTTTAATCGGCGACGATTTATACTGCCCACCTTTGAATACTGGTCAAGACAGCAGCGACATCGTACGTAGGGCTCCATCGGTTTTGCAGAATGTCGAGACAAAGCTCTCCGGTGGCGTAGACGTTGGGGTGGAACATCTGGCTGATGAACTTGACTTGAGGAGGCTTGTTGGGGTATTGCTCTTCGAACTGCATCACAAGTCGAAAGGTGCCATCTTCAAAGGGAGTGTCTGCGGGGCCGATGATGACGGCGTTCCTACAAGACGTATGATGAGTATTTGTGTTCAGGGTCGGCGATGTCGACGAGGGCGTACGAACCAGGTCATGACATTGTCTGGTACAGGTGAAGCAGAGACGCCGGCGGGAGGATCGGTCTGCATGCGCTATCGCGGGAGTCAGCGAGGTTTGATCTGGTGGTAGGTGATCGTCAAAAATTGCGAACCTTGAAGTCTCGCATGAGACGGCGACGAGCAGCGGTAGACATGATAGCGACTAGGTCGAAAGGCGAGAACGGATGTAAGGATAGAAGCTGAATGCCGTTGAACGAGAGAAATCGTTACGTGGATGCTGTGCTTGACGAATATTTCTACCGAGCGAAATGATTTGCATGCACGATTCACTATCTCAAGATTTGGCGGTGCAAGATGATGAGCGGAGATGGAGATTGGTCATGGACAGGCTGGTCGATGATTCGGATTCCACAGCGGAGGAGTTGGGTGATGCAATCTACCAATCAAGCATGCTTATCGGCCTGGCCTATCAATGCACGGCGAGAGAGGTCCGCCTAACATTTGCCTCACCTGCTCACCTGTTCACCGAGAACGCCGCACGTGACCCGGCCGAGCCGCAACAACTTCGAGGCATCCTCGGAGCCTACAAAGATTTGAGAGGTATTTCATTTGCTTTATAAGCATCATATCCTCTTTCTAGTCCTAATTAGGAACTTTTCTTGGGCAAAAATGATTGTATAATTATACGCTGACTGTCAAGATGCCTATTTTATATCCCCCACTACCCGGAGCTTTCACATGGCCGCGGGGGACGAAGGCCGCTCTGGGAACTAAACTATGGCATTTCGGAACCGACAACCAATTCCGATGAAGGAAAAGCAAGTAAATCGAAACAAACTACAGTATGATCATGTAGGCAGCGGTGGAAAGAGTCCGTCCCCAGATCTGACAAAAAGGTACTTCGGACTATAAGCCAATGTCGCCGCTTAGCTTGTACCCCAGGCTCGACGTCACCTGTAAAACTCCCCCGGATTTGTAGTTCTCGGCACGGGAGAGCTTGTGGCCGCCACCTCGGGCCCTCCCCCGCTGAAAGCCGAAGAGGACCGAAGCGGATGTATATTGCCATATTACTACGATACCCGAGGTCGTCTTCTTCTTACTTACTTATTCCTTCAGTCCATTCCCATCCTCTTCTTTCTCTCTCTTCTGTTCTGTTCTGCCTGTCCTGTTACGTCTTGATACCCCCTCATAAACACCAAAATGTCTCCTGCTCAACTACGATCCGCTGGCCGGCTGGCCCAGCTTGCTGGACATGTGAATGGCGCGCGACAGTTCTCTACACGGCCTGCTCTGCGCAAGGAGATCCAGGACGCTTATATCCTGAGCGCCTCTCGAACGCCTACAGCAAAGGTACAGTATCCTATAATTCGACTAATGCTTGTACCGATTTATTAACGTATTCCAAGTTCAATGGCTCGTTCCTGTCAGTATCGGCTCCTAAGCTCGGCGCTGTCGCTATCAAGTCGGCCCTGGAAAAGTCAAAGGTCCCCGTCGAGAAGATCACCGATGTATACATGGGCAATGTGCTTCAGGGCTCCGTTGGTCAAGCGCCTGCTCGACAGGCCGCTATCTTCGCTGGTCTGCCCAAGGAGATCGAGGCTACCACTATTAACAAGGTCTGCGCTTCTGGACTAAAGGCCGTGGCTCTGGCTGCTCAGAACATTCAGCTGGGTCTCTCCGAGGCTCAGATCGCCGGTGGAATGGAGAACATGTCACAGGTCCCATACTACGTGCCCCGCGCCAGTGGTCTTCCTGCCTTTGGCCATGTCAAGATGGAGGATGGTCTTATTAAGGACGGTCTGACTGATGTTTACGACCAATTCCACATGGGCAACTGCGCCGAGAACACTGTCAAGACCTACAAGATTACCCGAGAGCAGCAGGACGAGTACGCTATTCAGTCATACCGCAATGCGCAAAAGGCTTGGGCCGACAAGGCCTTTGCGGACGAGATCGCCCCCGTTACCGTCAAGTCGCGAAAGGGCGAGACTGTTATCGACACTGACGAGGGATTCAACGATGTCAAATTCGACAAGATCCCCACACTGAAGCCCGCTTTCGTTCGTGACGGAAGTGGCACTGTTACCGCTGCCAACTCGTCGACTCTTAATGATGGTGCCAGTGCTCTTGTTCTCGGAAGCAAGGCTATTGCCCAACAGTACGGCTCTGGCTCCCGTGTCTTGGCCAAGATCTGCGGTTATGCTGATGCTGCCACTTCTCCCATTGACTTCCCTATTGCTCCCTCCAAGGCTGTCCCCATTGCTCTCGAGCGCGCCGGTATCACCAAGGATCAGGTTGCCATCTGGGAGTTCAACGAGGCTTTCGCCAGTGTGATCCTGGCCAACTCTAAGATTCTGGGTCTTGAGGGCGCCAAGGTAAACCCTCTGGGTGGTGCTATCTCACTGGGCCACGCTCTTGGCAGCTCTGGTTCACGAATCTTGACAACCCTGTTACATCAGCTTAAGCCTGGTGAGTATGGTGTTGCTGCTATTTGCAACGGCGGTGGTGCTGCGACTGCATTGGTTGTCCAGCGTGTTGAGTCTGTATAAAAAGGATTATGAGCCATAACGATAGGGTATTTATGATTGACAGTAGAGGAACAAATCAAAATAAAATAAAAATTGAATAATAGCAAGAATGGTTGTTTCAATGCAGCTCGTATTTGTACCTACCATGTTTATACCATTATTCCAAGAATCAAGCCGAGCAGTTGTCATGATCTCTCGGTACAGGGTAACATGATGAGCACTGGCGATCCCTGCTATTGATAAGCTGTCATGATGAGCCATTCTCTCACATAAAATAGCACTTTATTCCACTGGCAAAGTAGAATCATACATAAGTACTAGGATTAGTTTCATTGGCTGATAATAAGACTGGTCTACCAGTTAGGGAGTGTTTAGGGAGAACAATGGGAGATGTTCTTACTGTTCCTTTCACAAAGACTGAGACAGTGGAGCCATACTATTTTCCACTCACACACTCACTGACCTTACTCACCTGGAACCCCAGCTCAACCTCACCATTCAACTCTTCTCTCCCCTCAATCACCACCATCATTCGCGATGCCTCTAGTCCTCGACTTTCTCACCCAGATCCGCAATTTTATCCGCACTCAAAATGGCGACGAGCTTCGCGCCTGGCTCCAGGTAGAGCCTAATTCTCCTCAGCAATATCACAACCTCGCATCTGAGCTTCGCTCTCAATTCCGCCAACAAGGCCTCGACAACATCGTTGAAAGGACATTACCTCAGGAAGATGATGTACCAGAAGGTCAGGCTACCGTGTGGCCAGGCTTTGTGGCCTTTATGAAGGACTATATGGCGTTCTGGCGCGACGTCAATTATGATGATTTGCTGGGCGCGCATCAATTGCTTAGTGGGCTTGTCAAGTATGATATCAAACATTGGATGACTTACGGCTATGAGAACTAATCTTTGATATTATAGCTCTTGCGCAACTGCTTTTGCTCACCCAACCTACGGCGCAATGCTACTCAAGACGAGCATGTCCCTCTCAGAGACGCTGGCTCGTCTCACAATGTCTCTGAACAAACGCCCTGACCTGGCGCGTCGTCTACGTGCTGTAGATGAGGACAAGAGCATCGCAGAATCTTCAGCAGAAATCATCCAAAAGATCTTCACCACATGCCTCACAGATCGATCCAGTGGTCGTTATGCGAAACCAGAGGGCAAAAAGATTGGCGTTTACATGTTTGCCAACCTCGTTCTCAAGCTTCTATTTGCAGTATGTAACAACTCAATATGTTACAAGATATATCGCTGATCATATCAAAGTGCCGAAGAACACATCTCGCCAAAATGATCTTTGTCAACATTTCCACCATCTCTCCGCCACTATCGCTCTACCCAGCTGCTCAGCGCGTCACATTCCTCTACTACCTAGGCCGCTTCAACTTCTCAAACAACCATTACCTCCGGGCTGCGCTGTGCCTTGAGGGAGCATACCTTCAGACCCCTTCGCAGCTGGTCTCTCACCGGACTAACATTCTCACCTATCTTATCCCTTGCAATATCCTTCTTGGACGCTTTCCATCACAATTATTGCTTCAGCGCCCAGAGTGTCAGACCCTGGCGCCTGTTTTCTTCCCCATTTGCCAGGCTATCAGATCTGGCAACTTCATCCAATTTCAGCACCATCTTGCACAACACGAGACATGGCTCTTTGATAAGGGCTTGCTTTTGACCCTCGGTAACCGACTACGACCTCTGCTCTGGCGCTCACTAAGCAGAAAGACTTTCCTCCTCACATATGTCCCACCAACTGATGCATTATCCCGAAAAGCCGCGACACTCGACCTTGCAGACCTTCATACACTCGCGGTATACCTTCAACACCGCCTGGAAGGCTGGCTCCCAGCAGGGCCAAGCTCACTTGGTCGTTCCCATACCGTCAACCCTCTCCTTATGAAAGCCCTCGAGAACAATGCTCAAAATCCCGAAGCCACATCTACGCTAGCTCCGCCACCCGGAGGGGCCAAATCTCTCCGGCCTAATGAGGGTATGATCTGGGGTAACGCAGAGGTCACATTCGAGGACGTGGAGATGACTGTCGCAACACTTGTTCAGCAGGGTTTGATGCATGGGTTTATCGCTCATGGGCAAGGACGATTCGCTATTATCGGTGCCAAAGCCAAGGGCAGCCCTGTGCTTGCTGGCTGGCCCAATGTCTGGCAAATAAACCGAGAAAGGAGATATGAAGACTACGATCCTGATGAGGTACCCGGTTGGGTCAAGGAGTAAAAAGCAAGGGGAGATGGGTGGTCGAGCTAGATCACCTAGCTTGGATACTTAGATCACAACTCATCTTGATGGCGTTTGTATAATATCATTGCCTGTATGATACCCAGGGGATAGTAAGATTAGAGTATGGCTATAATATGAGGATGTACTTGTGGCAATCAAAACGACCAGACACATATTTCTTTTCCAATAGCTGCGTGCGACAACGTTCATCACACCCATTAAATATGTCTAGTCAAAAAAGTGTTTTTATATAATAATAAGCCGAGATGGCCGAGCATCATCCCATCGACTGAACCACACCATCTCCTGCTTTTTTCAACAACCATACAAGAAGTTTTCCCCTCCTAAACTCTCTGATTCATGTGTGCATACGTCGTTAATCGCGAGAATAAACTTAAAACCATCGCTTGTGTTCTTCAAACATCCAA